CCCCCCCCATCCTACCACCACCGATCTATAATCACACGTCATAATCACATGTATGTGTGAGATTGCATGAGGCCAATCAAAAATCTTAGGCTATACCTGAAGCATGTAGCTACATAGCTTCTCTGGTGCGATCAATACATCTATTAGATAATTGCCCTCTCTCCCTTTAATTGCTCTAGTCTGTCTGCAAGTATGTGTTTTATCATTCCTATTAAACCTTCCCACACCACAAAATAATTACCTTATTACAACTTTGTGCATGCTACGAGTAATTTGGAAAGTTGTCGTTTTTTGTGTGTCTTTTTCAGAAAAATTCCGAACATACAAAAAAAAATCAACACAAGATTATATGGTACATCGGGAATTCAGTTGTAAAACCAAAGGTCATCCAGGTCATCAAGGTCATCAAGGTTAAAACATTATCTTTTAGACTTAGAGTCAGATTTCCAATTTCAATGACAACATTTGTCTGCTCTCCCCTTAAAAAACCTTTTTATTTCTTTCTATTAGTGATGGGCAATCGCTTTTAAATCATAATCGATGATGATTTGTATTCGAAAGTAGTAATTACCAGGTAAATGGATAAATTGCTTAATCGGTTTACAATTTTTTGGGACTGAATATACAAATAAAGTGAGAACACTACTATTACATCAAATGACAGAGTTTGACAGAGTTTTTCACTTTATATTAGGTTTCATTCTTTTATAACAAATGGCAACATTTTTACATTTTTATCAATCATTTAGCATAAATCATAACATATGACTTTCAAAGCAAACTTTGCATGAAAGATATTTAATGAACCGATTATATCAATTATGGAATTTGTAATGGGCAAACCGTTCAATTTTCAAATATAATTGACCATCAGCCAATCACTACCTTCTATACTATACATGTCCTATATATATATAAAAGGTCAATATTATACTTAGTTCAATTATTTATATTCTTTTAGACATAAAAAGAAATCCTCTACATTTTCATAAAAAGTTGTTTGAAATCGATACATTGTAAAAATGACTTCTATTTTAACCTTCTTAAAGGATTTATATATTACAATATAATGATAACCATATCATATAAATAGGAGGTTATCTATGTATTAAAAGGATGCCCAACCAAGAAACCCCAACTTTCCTGATATTGCGAAATCATTCAAAAACTATATGCTGTAGTTATATCAAGATATTACAACTCCAGCAGTCACAGTATACATTTTGACATGTGTAATTTTTGTCCTAATATAGATGTATATACCCACAGTATTTATAACTAATAACACAATCCCTGTTCTGTATCACCCAGATAGAAGAGCTCAGAGATTACA